AATACCTCCCGTATCTGCTTAGGTCATCTTAGTGGAAGATCAGCTTTGCTTAGTCTAGCTTGACTGGGAAGCTCTTCAAACAAAACCCAAAAAAGCCTCATGAAGCTGTGCCTCGCCTTCACTGGGCCACCTATAAACCTCGATTTCAGTTATAAATCTCTTTTGACAGCTCATATTATCAAACACTTTTGATTGTAGTAAACTCTGACCTGGAAATCCCTTTACACTAGTTCTCTCAGCTCTCCCAGCCTGCCAGACCAAAGGGACACCCTTTATCAAAGCACAGATGCGGTAAGGATTTGACCCAATTTGTTTGCATTACTCAGGAGCTGATCTCATTTCCAATGTAATTCAGTTTTCTCATATTTCTGGGCATATCTTAAAGGTGCATACCAAGCTGATATGTGGTGACTCAGGGGGAATGAAAGTAATTTTGCTTATAGCAAAAGGATTTAGGTAGTGGTTTTAAGAAAAATCAGAGCAGATTGTAAATGCAGGTTGAAATGCAGATCGAGAGCAAACAGTGTCATCTGTTGGGAAGAGAGGGCAGGTAACAAGCTTGTGACCTAAGGTTTAAAAATCCTATTTCAGGTGTAACAGTATCAGTGGGATGCTCTGATTTCAACCTTTGTGCCCTTTCCACAGGAAATGTGGCAGAGCTTTGTGCTCCCTGGTCACAGCCCTGTCCCAGGACCTGGGGTAAGGACAGACGTCCCCCACCCCCAGACTTGCTCCCAGGCCTCGTGCAAGGGGGCTGTGTGAGGTGCCGCACTGCATTCCCCTTTGTATCTCTGTGGCAGTTGTGTCACAACCCCTTTACATTCTTGTTGTAACCCCTGTTGTATCCATTCTCGTGTCTCCTTCTTGTAACCCTGTTGCAGCCATATCACATTCCCTTTTTTTATCCTTGTTGCATCCCCATGGCAACCCCATTGTACAATCTCTGTAGCCTCACCGCATGCTCCTTGTATCCCTGCGGTGTCTCCTTTGCATATCCCCTTACATCCCTGTTGCAGCTGCATTGCATTTCCTACTCTACCCCCCTTGCACCCCTGTCATGTCTCCCCTTGCACCCCGTTGCAGTGTCTCTTGAACTGCTGCATTGCATCCCCATTGCAGACATGTTGCATTGCCTCCTGCACCCCCAATTGGAGTGATCTTGCACCCCTGCTGCTGCCTTGCATTCCTCTTGCACCCCTGTTGTATCCCCTTTGCACCTGTGTTGCAGCCCTTTCTCACCCTATTGTAGACCCCTTCACACTCCCTTTGCACCCCATTACAGCCCCCTTGCAGCCCTGTTGTATCCCCTTTGCAACCTGTTGTACCTCCCTCAGGGCCCCTTTGTATCTCCCCTCAGCCCCCTGTTGTATACCCCTTGTACCCCCATGGAAGCCCCATTATGTCCCCCATTGCATCCCCCCCAGCTTGCGCCTCCACTGAAGTCCCATTATACCTCCCCATTGTAGTCCCCTTGCTGCACCTTTGCACTGTATCCCTCCCTTGCACCCCACCAGAGCCCCCCTTTCCACCCCTCTTGTACCCTCATAGAAGCCCCATTATGTCCCCCCCTTGCATCCCTGTTATATCCCCCTTGCACCCCCACTTCAGCCCTATTGCATCCCCCACTTGCACCCCCATTGAATTCCCATCACATCTCCCGTTACAGCTCCACGCATCCCCCCACTGCAGCCCCCCCTCCTCCCGTTGTACCCCTCCTTGTACCCTCAAGGAAGCCCCATTATATCCCCCCTTACACCCCCACTGCAACCTACTGCATCCTCCCTTGCACCTCGCTGTACCCCCCCGCCCCCACCCCTATTGCATCCCCCTTTCACCTTCCGTTCCCCCTAGCTGTATCCCCCCTACAGCCACCCCGCTTTCGCGTCCCCCCGCCCCGCGCCCCCGCGGAGCCGCCGCGTTCCGCTGCGCCCCCGCGGAGCCGCACCGGCGCGGCCGCGGAGGGAGGGCGCAACGGAGCCGCCGCGTTCCGCCGCTCAGCGCTGCCATTGCGGCCCGGCACGGCTCGGATCGGCACGGTGAGAGGCGGGGGGGGGCGGGGGGGAGATGCGGGGCAGACGGTAGCAGTGCCAGGCTCGGGGGGGACCGAGGAGGGGCCGATCCCCTCCGGTCTCAACCCTGGCATCGCTGGGGGTGGGGAGGAAGAGTGGGCGGGAGACCGGGAGCAAAACCAAACTGCAAGAAATAATCTTTAAAAAACTGTTATTAAAATTTAATAATTTGCCTTGAAATTCCCCCCCCGCCCCAAATAATCAAAAAACAGGGCACGAAGGGGAGCAGAGCAGCGTTGCATTTCAGCTGCTGCTATGTGGAGGATGCTGTCATTTTGCCGGAGGAGGATGCTTGAGAAGAGGGGGGTTGGGGGGGAGGGGGCCTGTGTGCAAGGAGAGGGGACCTAGAGGGGGCCCTGAGTACCCCTACCCCATCCCTCCCCTCCTCTTTCCTACCCCCCAGCCCCCAGGAGAAGGCTGAGTCCGGGCACACTCGTGACATCACATGTGCCGTGCATCCTCCACTGCGTGCGTGTGCGGCAGGATGGGGATGGCGATGGGGTCCGGAAGGAGGACGGGCACGTTATGAATTTCTAAACCAACGGCTGGCTGGCAGCACAGCCAGCCCCGGTTGTGATTTTCAGCCACCTTGTCCCCAGGCCGGCTGGCGGTGACGCTGACGGCTCGTCCCTGCGTGTTCCCAGCCCGGGGTGCAGCAGCGGGCCTGGGGCCAGCCCGGACTCCCCGAGTCATATTTATGAGCAGTGTTGCACAGATACAAATGGGTCAGAGATGCATGTTTTGTGAAATGGCGCTGCAGAAATAATGATCTCATTTCTGCCTTCTATAAATAAATGAAGGTGAAAGGGCACATTTCCTACTCCCAGCCCTCCAGAGGCTGGACTAAGACCTAGCTGGCTGGCTGATGGACAGAGATCTTTCAAATATTAATAGATCTTAAATTTTTAACTTCACTGTGACTGGCATCTAAAAGATCATTTTGCAAAATATACCACTGAGGAATCATAATATTAGTTATGTCTTCGTTTATGGTCAGTATTCTTTTTCTGGCTGTTGAGGATGCCAAGGGGCAGGCAGTTTCCAAGGGAAATGGTTTACTTGCATGTTTTGGGTTTTTTTTCTTACATGGTTAGTGGTGTGAGGCAAGGTTTCTGGGGGCCCCCTCTCAGCTGCTGAGGCCCACCAAATCCCCCTGTTTCTGCAGTGAGATCTTAAAATTGCTAGATGTTTCTTCTTCAGTTCTTCAAAAAAAAATTAAAGTATGCCTCGGTGTGCTGCTTAGCTTTCAGTGATTCAGAGTTTCAAAACCTAACCTTGGTCTGGGCTCAGGGAGCAGTAAGTGAAACGCCGAGTGTAAGCAGCAGCCCTGGCTGTGCAGCCCAGTCCCAACGAGCGCAGCCTTTCTGCTTGAATTTTCCGGATGATACAACCTTTGTGCTTGTATTTTGGTCACATCTGGTCAGTGAGCACACACGTGTGATTCCTGCATTGTGAAAACCCTCCCTGCCCTTGCCTGGGGATGCCCAGCACGTTAACTGCTGCCCGCCCCTTCCCAGCTGAGCCCCTCCGCCTTGTGAAGGCTTTTGTGCCGTAGCCCCCTGACGTGCCCCCCCAGGTGCCCCCCTCCAGCTCCCACCCCATCAGAGAGGTTGGCTCTGAGAGAGATGCTGATCTTAGTGAAGAACCTGCTGTTTCCCTAGGTAACAATCCCAGCTGCTTTCACATTTCTGGGATTGCTTTTTTTTTTTTTTTTTTTGAGCTGAATGCAGATTTTTGATCCCACACACGGGGGTGTGCTGCTGCTGCTGCATCTTACATGGGGCTTGGAAAAAATCGATATATACACCTGGGCTTCACTGTTGGGTCTTCTCTAGCCTCCCTGGTGTGACCCACTGAGCTTGAAAGAGGAAAAATAACGATGCAGATTCAAATCGTGCTTACAGTATTTTGTTGTTGATTTGGCTGGTGGCTCTGAGGACTGTCACCAACATGCTGTCCTCTGTAGCAACCTGCAGCCCCCTCTTGCCTCTTGGCCCCTCTGTTTGCAGGTGATGAGGTCCCTTCTTGAATTTAGCACGGGGGGGGAGGTAGGAGACACGGAGCCCCCCCTTTAGCATCTGTCCCAGGTCCTTCCCGTTACCTGGGGTGATTGCTTGGGGGGTCCTCCCAGGTGGGACGCAGGGGCTGTGGTGGTTGGTGCCTGCAGCTCGGCTGCCGGTGTGGGAACCAGTGCTCCCCGTTTGGCATCCTGTGCCCTGTCAGGTGCACAGCCCGCTTGGCCTTACTGCTGCCCTGATCACGTAGCATTTATCAGACTTGTCTAATTGATGTTTGTGAGTTAATTTATGAGGTACAGTAGCAGTAGCAACGCTTGAGGCCGTTTGCTGCGACTCTTGATCACGGTGCACCTCGAAGTGATGGATGAGCTGTGGTCTGTGGACTTACAGCTGTTACTAGGGTGCTCGCTTTTATTTTTAAGCCCATGATGTCTCTCCAGCTGGTAGCAAAGGACCGAGCCGGGGCCTGGGATGATGCTGCCCGCTCCCATCCCTGGTACTGGTGCAGCATTGGAGGATGATCAGCCCCTGGGCAAAGCACCGGCGCAGGGGGGTTGGCACCGCATGTGCTCCTGCGTGGCTTTGGGGAGCCGGCGTCCCCGCAGCGCAGCCGGGAGCAGGGGTGGTTTGTGGGGCTGGGAGTGCTGGGGTGGGGTGACGGTGGCTGCCCCTGACCGTGGAGCTGGGTCTGCCGGCGTTTTCCTTCCCGCCGCCTCCATCGGAGGTAGCCATGGAAATCGGTTGTGGTGCTCTGCCCACGCGGGAGGAGGCCCGGCCGTGCCGCGGGGCTCCCCGAGCATCCTCCCCCCCCCCGGGCACCCACGGCCGGCGGGGGCCCCGAGCAGGGCTCGCTGGGTGCGCATGGCCGGCATTGGGTGCCGGGGCTCACGTGGTGAGCGGTGGCTGCCATGGCCCTGCCGAAACACTCCGACAGGAGCCCCCTGGGGCACTCCCAGCTCTGCAACCGTAGCAAGGGGGATCTCTCAGGGATTTTCTGGCTCAAAGCAGCCCCCGGTGCTCATCCCGGGGGGGTCTGGTGCTCCCGCTGCACCTACAGTGTGAATTTCCACGGCCAAAAGCTGCTGGTGAGTCCAGGCCGGTGTTTTCCTGCCTCTCCAGTAATTTCCTGCGGCTGTGCTACGCTTCAACCCGACTCGCACAGGGAAGGCTCGGGGCGGGGGGGGGGGGGGGGGGGACACTGAGAGCGCTTGGAAAATTACATTTAAGATGAAGAGGAAGGGGATAAGTAGCAGCTTAGCTGGCTTTGTTCTAATAGCTGCAATCACCCAAAGTGCAACCGTGAGCCCCGTTTCGCTGGGTGCCGTGCAGCCCTGCCGCGGCAGAGGCTGCTGGTGTCGGCTCTCCTCGCTGCGCCAGCTTTTGCTTCATCTCCGATGGCAGCTTGCACTTTGTCCCTGCTTGGAACAAGTGCCCTCGTTTGGCTTTATTGTACAAAAGACTATATTTACATAAACAGGGGAAAGGTTGGTCAGAAGGTGAAGATGAGGCATCTTGAAGGGAAGCTGGTGGCTTAAATACCCCAAACTCGCCGTCTTGCCCAGCTACCGAGCCTGAAAGGAGGAGAAAAAGCAGGACTGCGATTTTAACCTTTTTTTTATCCTCTTCCCACAGTGTTTCCAGACGCCGCCGCTACCCACAGCTAGCGGGACCTGTGCCGAGAGGAGGAGAGGATCTCTGCAAAGTAAGATGGGCTTTTTAAAGGCTTTCTCCTTCTTGTTTTGCTTTCCAAGAGCTGTGGAGGCGGAGGCGGTGACCCCGTGCCGGGGAGCACAGGGGCTCCCACCGCCCTGCTCTTTTCCTGTGCTTTCTCCTAGCTGCAGCCTTCTCTTGTTACAGGTCATCAATGGGAATGATGGCAATTTTTCTGTCCTTAATACCTTCCCTGTTTTAGTGACATAGCAAAAGGCAGCAAGTGCTCTCAGGTGGGCTCCCATGCAGCCCTGCTCTGATGTACAAGGCTTATCTGTGGCACAAAGTGTTTATCTATGAACAAGCTGTGCAGAGATCAAAGATCTTTCTACAAAATGTTAATTAAATGAATAACGATGTGTTGTTGAGACTTGAAGGAGGAAATGAGGTTTAGCTTTATTAAGGAGGTGCCTGGTGGAAATATTTACAGTATTCCTCAAATTTCAGTTATTCTTATTTTCCCTGGGGGAAGAGGGCAAATTTTGCTTCAGAGGTTCTGTAAACCATTTTTCTTGGTTGTGTGTAATGTGGGGGTTTGGTGTGACCCAGTGTGATGGCGTTGGAGGGGAAGAGGATGTGACTGCAGCAATCCTGTTCCTGCTTCATGGCATAGCACACAACACACCACATACTGCCGTCAGTCTTGCAGGAAGCAGATATAAATCTGCTTGTCCTGTCGTGGAGAAGTGTGGTGGTGGTGATGGAGAGGATGGCTGGTGGGAGAGCAGGCATTGAGGATGTTTCATTTTATAAATGTGTGATGAAAGAGCTAGCACCAAGGAAAAGGAGAGACATAAGTTGGTTAGCAGGGGGAATTAGAAGAGATGTGTGTGTGAGACAGTGTTTAATCTCTTAATGAGAAAAATATATCCCAGCTGCCTGTGGTGGGGCATGTTCAGGGATGAGCATGGCACTGCGTGAGAGCTCAGCCTTCTGCCCTGTGTCCTCCAACTGCTGCCCCTGAGATCTGTCCAAAGGATGTTCGGGAGCCAGGATGGGGACTTGTGATCAACAGCAAGTGCAAAACACCCCATGGGGCAGGAGCGAGGATGTGGGGAAGGGGATAAATTTGTCTCAGATAAGGGCTGGTCACCAAAGAACACCCTGCCAAGTTCTTTCCTTCAGTTCCCGAGCCCATTAATAGGCTCTGCTCCCTTGATTAGTTGGTGACTGTGCGGAGCAGTAATGAAAGCTGGGCTCAAGCAATCATCAGTTCTAGGTCAGTGGCTGTGTGCTGGGCATTTGGGATTGGGCAGGGGGAGGGGAGCTGGAGCTGGATGCCTGCCTCCAAAAAGCAGTGTGGAGCCCGCGTTAAGGCAGCCCTGCCTGCACCCATGGTGGGAAAGGGTGTCTGCACCCAACGGCGGGGCTCTGCTTCCCCCATCTGCAAAGTGCCCCAAGGGCCATGTCACACCCCTCCGCCACAGACGTGGTCTGCGTCTGCTTGCAATGTGCTCTCCTGAGAGGATAACATTGCAATAATTAGATCCATTAAGGAGCCAGAAGAAATAATCAAGTTTCAAAACTGGAAGAGACTTTGCCACACTCCTGAGTGGTATCCTTTCATCAACTTGTCATCATTTCTGGTGTTTAACTTCTGATCCATCCCTAAATACAGGCAGGTGAGGCCGGGCGGTGAAGAGCAGCATGGACCTGGATGTGCTGAACATGTTTGTCATTGCCGGTGGCACTCTGGCCATCCCCATCCTGGCCTTTGTGGCCTCCTTCCTCCTCTGGCCCTCGGCGCTCATCCGCATCTACTACTGGTGAGTTCATTAGCCTGGCTGCCCTCATTTTAGCGCAGGGGTGGCATTACTGCTGGTCCCCATGGGGTCCCTGTGCCCTGGCACACACACACACACAGAGGTGCACAAAGAGCCCCCAGGCAGCACGGCAGCGGACAGAGGTGGGTGTCCCTGCCCGTGATGGCCACAGGAGCAGGTGAGGTGGGGTTATCCACGGCCACAGCAGCTGTGTGTAGCTTTAAGCATCTCTGGGAGAAGAAAATGGCATTTTCCTATTGCTTTTTTGCTGATGAGGCTTATGTCTGTTCATATGCTGAGGCTTATGTATGTTCACAGCCTGGCAGCCCCAGCAGGCTGGTGACCTCCCGACTCATCAACGCAGCCGCTGGCGTGAGTGTCCTTGGCTCCACCACGGCTCCCTGGGCTCACACTCTCCCTCCTGGTTAACAGCCTGCTTGGCAGGCAGGGACTTCTCTCTCACTAATAGTTACAGACAAAGCTTTTCTCATTCTCACTCACTCTCCTGGGCTGGAGCATCAGAGAAGATGGAATGATGCTTTTCATTACCCCCTTGCATTTCGTGCTTTCTGATACCAGGAGGCAGGCACTACATCCTTCAGTCCTCGTCCATCCCTGGAAATCAGCGATAAGTATGCTGGCAGCTTTCCTGCCCGGGTTTGTTGCAGGGGAAAGCTGGAATAACTAACGCTCCCTTCAGAAGCCGGGGCAGCGTCCCCTTGCCTGGCGTGGCAGCAGCCAGCAGCGCGGCAGGCTGCCCTCACGTGCTCCTGGCAGATGGTGGCTCCTGCGGTTTTGCTCAAATCAAAGTGACCTCCTGTAAGAGGAGGACGTTACCCACTCAGACGCAGCAGCGTGATGAAGCCTGTTTCTAACGGCACATTTATTAGCAACCTTTTCATCACAGCACCTGAGAGCTGAGAGAGGAGGGCGGATGGGATGAAAACCCCAGCAATCGGATTGGCACGGGGAGAATTTCTTCCCGTTGTGCATCGCGTGGGGACCGGCGGGGCCAGAGGTGGCTCTGCAAGGGAGAGCGGGAGGTGTGACAGCCTCCTGCTCTGGGGACGACTGGTCCAGACGGTACCGAGTTTGTCAGTCAAAGGGATTTATTTGCCTTTGGACATACGGGTGGCAGGTGGAAGCCAGGGAGGACCCTGATGGGCTCAGGTTCAGAGGAAGATCACTGGCGAAATGCTGCTGCACCAGAGCAGAGTGAGTGTGGTCGGGGCGAAGACTTCGGAGGGCCACAGGCAGGGGTGGCCAGACCGAGCGAGGGAGGCACAAGGGGCTGATGCTGGGAGCTTTGAGGAGCCGGGTTGAGAGGGAAGTAGAGAAGACCCTGCTGCCTTGTCCCTCAGGTTTGCAGATTTGTGGTTGAGTGAAAATGTACCGTGGGTAGCTCAATCTGTGTTCAGCTGAGGGAGGGAGCGTGTGAGCAGAGATCAGCAGGGCTGTTTCCTTTTGAAGCGTTAGTGCCCCCATGTCCCTCTCTTCCGGCCTTTCTGGCAGCACTGGCATCTTGCGGGAGTGATTGCGATGCTCTGTGTTTCTTGGGCATCTCTTTTCTTAGGGACAATGGGCGAGAAGAGTGGGTTACTCTTCCTTTCCTATTTGCTTCTTTCGAAACTGGCTTTTGGGGGTGAAATCATTGTGTTTCCCCACCGGCAGAGGCAGGAGAGGGGGCAGGCAATATGCCATGCTGCTCCCCTCTTTCAGCCCCATGTGGCTCCAGCTTTGTGGCACCGCTCCTGGGAGGTCCCTAGGGATGCTTCTCCCTTCTCCCACCACTGGCTGCCCCCCCCTCCTCCTCCTCGCTGCCGGTCTGCCGGCACGGCCCAGGGTCACAACGCCAGGCCCCTGTTGCCGATGGCTTCTGCCTGCTCTGCCACTGGGGGTTAATCAGTTTAGCAGCTGCCGCTAAGAGTGTTAACACCTTGCGAGGGATCAGTTCAGCTTTGCACAGGTTATTTTGCCTTCTGCTGAACTGATCCATCAGGATCAGTTGCTAAAAATGTTACCATCTTGCCCACTGGTAGTTTACACTGGTGCCTTTGAGGCAAGGACTCTTAAGACACTTATTCAAGGAGAAATTCAACTCTCCTTGTAGGACCAGCACAGAGCTGAGATGCTGCTTAAGTCCCACTAACTCCCTCTGAAAAGGGATTATGCTAAAAGAGGATTGCACTATGCATAATCTTTGAGTGGGCAGAAAGCTAGGACAGCCCAGCAAGTGTTGGTGACCTTGCTCTTGTTTCTGAAATAAACTCTGATATCACATATAAAAATATTTGCCAGTATCTTGGCCAGCAGGAGTAGCCCGGTAGTTGTCCTGACAAAGGTTACATCTGAGCGCAGGGGAAATGCAGAGGAAGCGTGCCTGCTCCTGTCTTGGACTGCATGTACACATCATGTGTTCAAAATGTCACCGAAAATCTCTGCCCAGGTCTCCTCTGGCCAGCAGTTTCACTGCATCTCATTGAGCAGGCTGCAAGAGTGTGCTGGCAGGAGCTGTCTCCTCTGCTTTCAGAGGAATAACCCGGGTTTCCCTGGGGTTAGCTTGCTATCTTCTGCGGCATTTGACCCTGTGTAAGGATGGTCCCCTCCAGTCCTTTGAGTGTGTACAAATAAATTTTTAAGATCATCCAGTTCATGTATGGTGAATGGCTCCTTTGGTGCTCCTGAGTGCCCTGGCTATTTTGTCTGGGATCCAATGTGCTTGTCCATGATGCGATGTTGTCCCATGGCTGCAAGGGTGTGCCCAAATAAACCCGTGCCAGATCCACCTTGCCCACCTGGAACACATGCTGCCCTTGGCCTGCCCAGCCTGCACGCTGCCTTGCCATGTGTGCTGCCTTTCTCCCTTGAGCCTCTCTCCTCAATACCAACCTGAGACTGTTTTCAGTTTCAGCATTGTTATTTTGGCCCATTTCCATTGCCTTGAGGGAACCATGCAAGTTAGTTGTTTCAGGTATTTTTTGACGTTTTTAACAGGGCATCTCCACAAGCCATCTACAGTGCAGCCATGAATAGCCAGCAGCCTGTACTACACCTATAAGGGATCACATATAAGCACAGGGTCTGATCTAGGCACCAGATGCTCAGAATTAGTCCCAGTTAGGGCCATGACAGCACTGATGTGAGCCCAACCTAACTGGCCTTAGCAAATGAGCAAAACTGCAGCTGAGTTTGGACTTGTCACCTGGCTTATAGTGCTGCTGGGCCCTGGTCTTGCCTCACTCACTGGTGGTGTTTTCTCCTTGTTTCCAGGTACTGGCGCCGAGCCTTGGGTATGCAGGTTAGATATGCAAACTACGATGACTATCAGTTTTGTTATTCCTATAGAGGGAGACCTGGATACCGACCGTCCATCCTGATGTTACATGGGTTCTCAGCCCACAAAGACATGTGGCTGTCTATGGTCAAGGTGGGACTCCATCTCTATCATGTTGCAACTTAGTGAGAATCAATTATCCCGGGCTTGAGGGCGGTGTGGGGACCCAACAGTTGCATGCATGGGATATGATGATCACTGTAACGTTCTAGAAACACCCTCCTTAGCTCTGTGCTTGTTGGTTGTGGTGTCCCTTTCATCCATATGACATCCAGAGCTGCAGGGGAAGAGCAGTACATACCTGCCTCCTCCATGGGAAGTGAGTCTTGCCCATGGTTTCTCATCATGTCATCCTTGGTACATGGGCTGACTTATTCTGGTGCACAAGCAACCAGGGTCTACTGGGAGGAGAGCAGCCCCCCCGCTCCCACCCACAGTCACCAGTTTCCATCCCAGGGCTTCACAGCGGTTCCCCTGCGCCGTAACCACCCCTGGTTTGTTTCTGCAGTTCCTGCCCAAGAACCTGCACTTGGTGTGCGTTGACATGCCCGGGCACGAGGGCACGACCCGCTCAGCCTTGGACGACTACTCCATTAATGGGCAAGCTAAGAGAATACACCAGGTAATGCCCCAGCGTCACATCGCCTTTGCAGAGGGATGCAGGGATGTAAGGGGTGTGGGGACATGAGGCAAGCTAAGCCCCATGAGCCCTGCCTCACACAGCCCCGCTCCCTCCCTTCCCAGGCAGCCCCAGCCACTGACCTCAAGCTTTTGAGATCAATTTCTCTAATTGATGTGACCCACACTGTTGCTTCCTCTCCCCTAACAATGCTCTTCCTTCTCCCCTGCCAGTTTGTGGAGTGCATCAAGCTGAACAAAAGGCCCTTTCATCTGGTTGGCACTTCCATGGGAGGAAACGTTGCTGGTGTCTATGCTGCCCAGTACCCAGAAGACATTTGCAGCCTGACCCTCATCTGTCCTGCAGGTGGGCAAGGCAGGGGAGGTGAGGCAGGGAGATGGCGAGCAGGGGCCCGTGCAAAAGCCCAGAGTAGTGCTGGAGGAAAAATAGGCTTTTAGTGCAAAGCATTTTGAAATAATTTGTATGTACGGTCTTAAAATCTCTGGCGGGGCGCGCTTCCAGGACATGGGAGGAAATCACGGACTTGTCCTGACTGCTCTTCTCCAGGGCTTTGGAGCCTGCCTTGTGCTGTGGTTAAAGCTGGGACTAGGGCAAATGGGACAAGACCTGCTCTGGAGGAAAATGTGTTTCCCCTTGGGGTGGCAGCTGTTTTACATGGCACATCCATAGCGTCTTGGTCTGGAGGGGGAATCCAGACAGCAGTGGGAAAAGTCTCCCCAGTCTGGTCACTTGAGAGCCCAGGAGGGCTGGGGCTCTGGGAGCCAGCGAGCTCGCTCCTCTCACGTTTGGGTGCTCCAAGCGGGAAGAGTGCTCTGGGGGCAGGCACAGGTCAGTGGGGTGTTCCTGCACCATGCAGCACACCCCATCCCCACCGTCCCCTTGGCCGGGCAGCTCAGGGGAGCCTGGGCACGACATGCTGCGGGAGGCACGGCGGGTTTGGCAGGGAGCTTCCCTGCTGGGGAGAGCTTTGCTGCATCCCAGTTGTTATAGCAGTTCCTTCCTCCTCCCACGCAAGGAAAGCGCCTCCCAGATAAGAAATAAGGAATGAAGCAAAGCACAAGGTTACCTAGCTACCAGGCTCTGGGGGTGGCAAGGTACCCCCTCCTCCCTGGGAGAGGTGTCAGCCAACTCTCCGGGTGTTTCTGGATGTGAAACCTCTGTGTGGGGGCTGCAGAGAGGGTTGGGGTTAAGCTGCTGAGGGCTTCTTCCCCGCAGTGGTGCATGTGGATGTGGCTTCTGAAATTTTCTCTCTGACCCTTTACAGTAGCAGGCTGGGCACAGGCATTAGTATTTGCATCCACTGTCCACATAAAAATAAACACTACAGTTTTTGCCAAAGCATTCATGCCTGTAGCATATTGTGTCAGCCCATGGGGCTCAGCGGGGTCAAGCCCTGGAGCAGGAGGGAGGCTGAGGTGCCTCTGGGTACACATTAAGGTTGCTGTATCTACAGATTTTATTCTCCCCCTCTATTTCAATTTTTTTTTAATGACTGAGCAAGTGGAAGGCCAGAGGCAAGGATGATGAAGGTCAGTACAACGATGCTCTGTTGCTGGGGTTGTTGGGGTCTCACCGAGGTTTTAGCTTGTGTCTCTCTTCTCGTTCGACCCAGGCCTGCCAAGTACCACTGACAGCAAGTTCATTAAGCAGCTCCGGGAACTGCAAGAGTCCGAACGCATTGACAGGATCCCTTTAATTCCCTCGACTCCTGAGGAGATGGCGGATATGCTGAAGCTTTGCTCCTATGTTCGCTTCAAGGTGCCGCAGCAGGTGAGGAGTCTGGGCTGGCTGTGATGGCTGAGAAAGTGGGGCTCAGGGCTGGGAAAGCAGGGCTCATTGTGGGAAAAGCGGGGTTCGGGTTTGCTTCTCCCCAAGCCTGCATGGCGGCAGCTGAGGTGATGCTGGGAGCAGAGCTGGTGCTGCCATCCCCCATCACCCAGGCAGGACACCCGTGGTGGGACACCCAGGTGGGACACCCACTCCTAGCACTTTTACAGCACTTTCCCTTCAAACTCACTTTTCCCACCACACTCCAGCAGCACTCCCTGAAATTCCTTCTCCAGCAAGGTCTTTGGCATCGGGCTGGGATGTCAAAGGCCTTTTTAGTAAATATGGCTGGCAGGAAGCATTAAATAACTAACTAAGGCGGCTGTTGTCTGGCCTGGAGGGGGATTGTTTGCTGATTTTTAAGCAAAATCTATGGAAATGTTAATCACCTCATTGTCAGGCGAGAGGAACTTGGCAAGGAGCTGACCATTAAGCTGGTTTTCCTTAGGAAGTCTGGGATGAGTAGATTGGAGAGTAAGAAAAAAATGTAAGGTAACGCCAAGACCTTTATTTTTTATTTTTTTTTGGCAAAAGAATAAAAGAAGGAAGAAGAGCACAGTCATGGCTGAGGCATCCTGCTGGCTGTGGATGGCTGGCCTGTGGGAGAAATTTGGATTTGCATCATAAAAGACAAAAACACTTGTTGCTGAGATGCATGTTAATTAAGCGTGGTTGTGACAGCCAGAGGTGCTTAGGAAGGAGTTCGTGCTGGGGCCAGGCTGTGCAGGGCACGGTGGGGTGCGGGTCCCCCCCAGCAGCTCTCCTCTGCTCTCCCCACAGATCCTCCAGGGCCTCGTCGACGTTCGCATCCCACACAATGATTTTTACCGGAGACGTAAGTGTGCGGCAGCAGCCCCTCTCACGGGGCTTTCCAGCCAGACCCCCGGGGCTGTGGGGACAGTCTGTCCCCATCCACCATGTCTCCGGCTGCTGTCTGTCCCCTGCACCCCGCTCCTGCCTTCCTGAGGGTGGGGGGATGCACCTTGGTCACTGGTAACAACGCGCTGCCACCCCCACGGGCGATGGGATGGCTGCTTCACCCTCACCCACCCAGCCGGGTTAATTAGTACTGGTACCTACGAGGAGATGGGCTTGGAGGAGGGTCCCTCCGCAGCTGGGCTTGGTGGCAGTGCAAGGACAGCCCGCTGGGCTCTGCCCACCAGCCCTGCCTGGGTTTCCCAGCGAGGGGACAGGGCTGGCCCGCAGGGACCCCTGCGAGAAGGGAAGGCAAAGCGTCCCCCTTGTAGGACTGACTCTCCTCTTGCCCCCACTAGTGTTTTTAGAAATCGTGGATGAAAAGTCCAGGCACTCTCTCCATGAGAACATGAGCAAGATCAAAGCACCGACGCAGGTCATCTGGGGAAAGCAGGACCAGGTATGATGCTCCCTCCGCCTCCCCCCATGGGACCATGTCTCCATCTCCACCCGTGGGGGCACAGTGGGGGCTGTGCTGCCAAGCTGGGTGCTGCTCTGCGGCAAGCTGGCACACGTGTGTCCCTGTCCCCAGTGGGTTTGGACACAGGGGCTTGGAGGGGTGACGGGCAGAAAGCTGACGGCCAGCATGGAGCCAGGGGGAGGAGAGGAGAGCAGCAGAGCCGGGGCTGGGGAGAGCAAGGAGGCAGGCGGGGGGCAGGTGCCAGCGCTGCAGCAGGTGTAGGCTGGGAAAAGGAATGAAGTGCCAGCAAAGAGAGTTGTCCTGGTAACTGGGGAGAAATGTGCTGTTCGTGGGCAGGCGGCGAGGCAAAGGCATGGGGGTTTCACATGGCTGGTTACTGAGGAAGTGGGAGGGGGAAGGTGGTAAGCTGCAGGCATGCAAAGGGCTCTGGAAATGCAAAGGTGCAAGCATTTGCTTGCAATGACCCCTTTGCACTGAGCTGGCAGCCAAAAAGTGTCCAAGAGAGACCAGCACCATGCAGTCTCCCTGTCCTGTCCCCAGTCAGGGGTACCGCGGGATGGGGCTGGCATCACAAGGACCATGTCTGCATCCCTGCTCAGCATCTCGCTTGGACTTGCAAAGGCAGCTCCAACGGGTTTTCTACAGTGTCCAGCAAAACCTAGCTCTGCCTAGGAGAATGACTGTTTTTTCCCCTGCCATCCAGGTCCTGGACGTTTCTGGTGCCAGCGTTTTAGCAAACGCTATCCCGGACTGCCACGTGTACATCCTGGAGAACTGCGGGCACTCGGTGGTGGTGGAGCGTCCCCGCAAGACAGCCAACCTCATCCTGGAGTTCCTGGCGCTGCTGCACAGCATGGACAACAACAAGAAGCAGGCGTGAGCGTGGCGGGGAGCCAAGGACCCACGCTGGGCCTTTTAAATTGTAAAGTACTGCAGCTTTGATAAGTTCTCAGGGATCTTGTACGAATAGGGGTGAATGTGCCAAAGTCCCTGAGGAAGGCAGAATCACTGATACCTAAACCTATAGCACCGCCAGCACAGCGACCTAGGGGTCATTGAGCAACCTCCATAGATACAGGAACGGAAGCAGAATCTCTCCCTTTTCTACTTAGAGATAAAGTAGAAATGCACTGAAATCACCAAGCGCTAGCCATGCCATGTGCTGAAGCTCCTTACACAGCCACCCATCTTACCCAGGTTACTGGCACGTAGTTGTTAATGGCATTTACTTAAACTATATAAGAAGCGTAGGAAGGAGGAAGCATCCTGGACTGAGACTTACAATATTTCTACTACTTAGAGTCCGTCACATTGCATGCTGCTGTGCTGTAAGAGAACCCCAGTGCTCCAGGCGTCTGCTCGAGTGCTCTTTGTGTAGCTCCTTAACTCGTGATTTATGCAGAAAACGACAGAAAACTTCACATGTGGAAGTCCAATGACTGTATGTGCAAAAATGTTTACACTTTGAGTGGGTTTTTTTTAAATCCCCAAACAGCTCCTGCATATATGTAATGCCTTAACATTGCCCAGGGTATGGCATCCACACACAGCCCGCCTTGCCTGGAGGATGGTTCCCCCTGAGGGTGAACATAGTCGGTGAGAACTTGGGGTGCTGACAGCAGCTTCGCTGCTGTTGTGTGAACCAGAGGGATGGAAACTGCCTGGGGCGATTCAGTCCCCGAGCCCGAGTCAGCAATAAACCCGGGGACAGGGTGCGAGTCAGCAAACTTGAGCGAACTCTTGTCTCAGTTCTTCTACCACGTACGCTGCTGAACACGTTGATGTAAATAACGACTTTCTTAATGAATTCCGTGAATTCTGAGAATGCCGATGTCACCAAAACCAGGCGTGAGGGGGTGGGAGCGGGCTGTGTCTGCGAATAGGCTTGGTGGGTGGTGAGGAGGGGGACAGCTCGCCTGCGAGGCGCTGGGCGGTGGCGTGGAAAGGTACGGCGTGCTCGTGTGCCCTCTCGATGGTTTATAACTCCTGGCCATGGGAAATTATAGATAGAAATAGGCAATGCAGACAAGCTACGCTTTGCAGCCCACAAGGTGATGTACAGGGATGGATCCTGCACCTCCCCAGGTGCGACCCCTCGCCGCGCGTCCTGGGGGAAAGGGCTGGTGCTGGTCTTGGGCCGGACCCACGGCTGCTGGAGGGCAACGCCGTGCGGGCTCCTCTCAAAGGCAAAGCAGCAGGCAGCCGTCACCCCGCGGTCACCCCCAGCCCTCTCCGAGGGGTGACACCGGGTGCTGCTGGAGCCCCCCCGCAGGCTGGGTACGCATGCTCGCGGTGCTGACAGCCCTCTTCTCAACATCTTTTCGAGGTACCCCGATCTGTACATATATCTGAAACTCCCCGTCAGCTTCTCTGCTCTTTTTAAGAGAAGAAACATTGTTCTTTTAGAAAATTAGAAATTTGCTGTTAATTGCTTGATTATTGTTTCTACTACAGGAGTTGATTTAAAAAAAAAAAAAAAAATGCTGATAGTTTTATGTGGTAAAATCCAGAAAAAGTTGTTGGGTATCTATATGGTTTCTCATACACCACGGATTGCTGTATGCAAAGGATTTATATGGCTATTAAAATCTAGTGATTTAAGGAGTCCACTGTGCAATGGTTATTCTTCCCTTTGAGGAAGACGAGGGCTGTGGTGTGGGATGATGCACAGCAAAGGGGACTTGCTCTGCTTCTTCTTTCCTCCCTACATTTCTGTGGGATGCACGTTTCGCCTCAAGGTATATTTGATAATGTTAGGAGAGATCGTGAAGACCCAGAAGGCTCGAGTCTCATCTCTTCAAAGGCAATACAAATTTTGCTTTTTTCTTTTTAAGAGGATGTGGTCCTAAACACCCAATAAGCAAAATAAAACCTCAAGGGGCAGAGTAATTAGGTTTTAAGCACCAAGATCCCTCTTAAAACTCTTGAAAGTGTGTTAAATACCAATTTCAGCAGTAATTACAAGTCTTACTGAATTCATACAGTGTGCTAGGACTAGCATTATATCAATATCCAGGCAAAATAATTGTATTTCTCTTTTCTCCAGGAGGTTGTTGAGGCCTGGCAGCTGCTTTGTGTGACAGAGGAGCTGCAGGGAGGGCTGGGGAGCATCCTCCTGTCACCTCATCCTCCTGTCTGGGCCCCGCCATGGCATTCCAGCCCCACTGCTACAGTAATGAACAGGTTGAGGTGATGGTTGCTGCAGGAAATCTATTAATTACTCAGCAGCTGAGCCCACTGACCAGCTGCCTACACACAGGAACACACCTGAAAGCACGCCCCATAACGCCGGTCGCTATGCCCAATAACCCTCCTGTCCTAGGGGGAAGTTAGAAAAGCCCCGTGCCATGTAGGGGCTGCTCCTGGGTTTTTGGCTGCTGCCTCCCTGGCACTAAGCCCCCGGGGAGCCCTGGGCTCCCCACCCCAGCAGGTAAGGCTGCGATCCTGGGCTGTGTGTGGGGCTTGGGATGGGGCAGAGCCTCCTGCTCCTCCTTGCGTGTCCTGTGGGCAGAGCTGAGGGAGCCACAAGGAAACCAGTGGATCCCAGTCATGGTGAGTCTGAGCAATGGGAACCTGCACATAACCTGAGCATTCTGGCATGGCAGGAGGGAGGAGTTTGCGTTTTGGTTTGTCACCTAGTGTTTAAGTGTTGCTTTCCTTGTAATTATGTGAATAAACTAGGTCTGGGCTGGGTGGCAAGGCTCATGAAGGTAGAGGCTCATGTAAAAGCTAAGCAAGGAGTTGGCCCTTGGTTGTTATGGGTCTTGGCAAGGCTGATTCACTGTATCCTGAAAAGAGGTTGCAAAACACAACAGGGCTGGCTTGCTAATAAACCTAATGATGCCTCTGAGCAAGCTGTTTTGCTGCTGAGCATCCAGGTCCGTGGTGGTACCAGTTGCCCCACTTCCAGGGTGTTGGTGGGAGCAGGAGGGATGGAGTTGGTGGCAGCTGCTGCCGGGTACTCGGTATGTGCCCAGCTCCTGCTGAAGGGGAAGACGTGGAACCCTCGAAACATGGGCACCCAGGGAAACCTGGGCTGGGTCCCGTTCCGCACAGCTGCAGCCAGGTGTTCGTCTGCAGTGGAGAAGCATCTTTTTCCCTTTTTTTCCAGCAAATTAGAGTAATGGCGTCTGCTGCCTTGCTGGGGAGTTTTGCCAGCACAGCCCGGTGCAGAGCATCCTCTGACAGGTGGATCAATGCTTGGGGTGTCCGGCACCGTGGTTTGAGTGCTGCCGTGGGTGTCCCCTGCCCCAGGAGCTCATCGCCCAGCTGAACCTTCCCCTGACTCAATGTGTTTCACGATTCTCTTGAACACAAACCATGGTTTTCCCATAGAAGCCTGGATGGGAGCACCCAGGGCACAGCCCTTCCCACCTATTGTGGGAGGGGGCACCACAGACCCCCCACCCGTGTCCCTGCACGCTGGGGTGCAGCAGAGGCATGTGTTCCCCGTTATGCCTGCAACTGCCCCGTGATGTGGCGAGGGTCCCCTGCCTGGACCCTCCAGCTGAGACTTACAGTGAATGCAAGGAAAACATATAGGATCTGGTGGGGTTTTTTTGTTTGTTTTCCCCTCTGCGAGGCCCTTTTCTGAACACTGGCCTCGTGGGGGCGTTTGGGGATTATTCACTGAATATTTGCTGGGCCACCAGCACTGGGTGGCTTCTCTCTGCCGTTCCCTGCCCGACAGCGCTGCCTGCCTGCTGCCTCCTGCCCGCAGCTTGAGATGTGGAGAGCGAGCCTTGATTTTCGTGTCTTACAGAAAAACTTTGTCTTCAGCCATACCAACGGGGTCACTGCCTTGTTTTAATTTTTTTTAATGCCCAGCTAATAGCGGTGAACAGGTGCTCCGACAAGGGCTTTGGCTGTTGCCTGAAGCTGGGTGCCCAGCGGACGGGGGGGCATCGCACCGCTTTCTGAATCCTGCTCTTTCCCTGAAACCTCTTTTTTGCTCCAGAGAGCAGGGCCCACGCACTGCCCTTGTGTGCTGCTCTATTGATTTTATTTGTTTTCTTGAGTTCTGGGAAAAACTGTACAAGAGCATTGGGTGAGCTGGCAAGTTTCTGGTAACAGCACAGGGATTTGTGCTTCCCCCTGGGTTTGCAGGACGTTCCCTTGGCCTGGGCCCTGGACCGACAGTGTGGGTGACCTGCATTCCTCGGGTGGATAACACAAAGTCTTGAGAGATCATCCAGGCCATCCCTAGACTGACTCCTGCATCAGCTCCAAATGACCCCACTGGTCTAGGACATCCCACCACAGCTCCCTGGAAGGGGAGCTGCTGGGTTCACAGGGCAACCTAATGAGTAGCCTGAATCTCTGATTAAATTTAAACTTACTACTTCTCATGTCCCCATTAGATGCTGGGAGTGTGTTCATAACTCCCCACAGCACCCTCTTGCGTGTTTGCAGCCTTGCTGTGTCCAGTGTAAAATCCTGCAGGCTCTACCAGCTGCTCCTCCTGTACTTGAAAGAGTAATGCAGGCAGCTGGGCACAAACTCTGGGCTCAGGTTTTGCTGGCTTCGAACAGCAGGTGTCTTGCTTCATGAGTGTGTTAAGAGCAAACATCCCTGTCAGCTTGGTTTTAAAATAAATAGATAGTAATAATAACAACTGTCCCCCTAAGCCCCCCTGAATGACGTTGCTTGGCCTGTGAGTCACCCTTTCCTGCAATTATGCTCTCTAGCCTGCCTTTGCACACTGATTATTCATACAAGAGAGTAAAATCCTGCACTGGTCTTTCCAGAATTACATCCTCCTTTCTTTCCCACTCCTTTTTTTTGGTCTATTTTCCAAGATCAACTGTATCCTACCCCAGCTCTCCAGCGCACCCCGTTGGGGCCACCTCAGCTGTGTATTCATTAAGATCCCTGTCCTACAGCTCAATCAGTGAGCTACTGATGGAACTGTGGAAAACAGTGTGTCTCCTTCCACTTCCACAGGGAGCCACTGGTAATGAGCGAGAGTAATTTTGCTGCATGTTTTGCAGCCACCTTGCAGGTTGAGTTAATCTTGAGTTTCCTTATTTTTCCAGTGGGAATGACACAGTCTTGCTTGACAAAATCCCTACTAAAGAAATATAGTCCCTACTGCTCTCTCCTAGCCTTCGGGGCCTGTTACCCTATTGCAAATCAAAATTGATTTGGAGTAACATAATAATTCTTGTTACCTACCACCTTTCTGGTTTCTAGGTGCTTTGTATCCCCATTCCCAAGCTGTTCTGGGACACCATGGGGGCCACATCCAGACCTGATGACTGGAACAGCCGCCTGTCTTAGGGGAAATAACCCTCGGTGTTGTCCAGGAGGTTGGGAAATATTTGGAGACCTGGCTTTGACCCCGTAGGCAGGAGAGAGGTCACTGGCCTGTTTGGAGAACCAGGTGAAGGTTGTCCTTTGGAGGACTAGTGAGGCTGCATGGGGCCACGGGTGTCGACACCCATGGCATCCTCACTTTCAACACCCGGGGTCTCCAGCATTTGTGGTGAGGTGGCACCAGGTGGCAGCAAGTGACCAGCGTGGGGACATGATGCAGCACCCGGGGCGGGGGGGGGGGGGGGGGCAGAAGGGAGACCTGATGCTGCACCCCTCCACTCCAACCTGCACCCCGCACAGCCCAGGACCCCACAGGGGTGCTGCTCCTTGATTTGGGTTGATGTCCAGGCAGGGTCTGGCAGCTCTCTCTGTGGGACCTGTGTTTTCCATGCGTCCCCAACCTGTGTGTCACCCATCCAGGGGGCAAAACCCAGCATTCCTGTCTTGTGTTGGGAGCTGGGTGCTCTCAGGGTCAAATTCTCTCCTTCCAGAAGATGTCCAAATTTTGAAGTTTAAGGTCAAGTCACCCCTGAAAGTAGTTAAATAATTAACTTGTTTTGCAAGAGCCTTGATTTGGACTGCAAGCAAACACCTCCATGCTCCTGGGGATGCTGTCACCAGCTCCTGAGAGCTGTTTCAGAGCTCTGGCTCAGAGGGTGGATGATGTCAGGGATGCAAAAGGAGAAAACTGAGGGGTGCTGGTTAGAGCATCACTGCTGGGAGCAGTGTCAGTGCGTGCACCCCATTCCAGGGGGTGGGGGCTGGAGGAGATGGGGATGATGCATGTGAGATCAAACCCCCTCTACCCCTGGAGAAGCGATGCCAGGCTTCCCACCCCACACAGCTCAGGAGAGCCCATGCAGTATCCTCCTCTCCTCTGCACAGCTCTCTTCAGCACCCGCTCCCCTCTGCCAGCGTTTGCCATCCATGCAACCTGGGGACTGTGGCCAGGAGGGTTCCTGCAAATCTCCCCACAGTGCTTGAGAGCTACCGACCTGGATTCGGTTAGTGGGAGATGCAGCTGGCCACAGGCTACCTGGAAGTATTATCTGTCTGACTGCCTGGCTTGGGGTTGAGCTGCGTTTGAAGCCAGAGCAGGCAGCTCTGGGTGGAGGCTAGCACGGTGCCGGCACAGAGCAAATGGGATCAACAGCCTCTTCCTGTTGTGCAACTGCCATGCAGCCCACGTAGAGAATTTTTGGGAGATTTGTCAGGGCTTTTGTGTTTCCAGATAATATTGATTTCCTTGTTTCAGATCTTGCTTTCACAAGCGAGGGATTTAAATAGCA